AGGGCCTGCAAGAGGTTTTGGATCAGTCTGGAGATGGACCGGAGGCTACAAACTCCTCTTCTGAGCATTCTACACATCGGACTCTAAGCGTCGCTGAGAGGAATGACATCTTCCTTAAGGTAACTTAATCTTCTCTCATGCTTTATGTTTCGGTTACTTAACCTTGCTCACTCTGTCTGTTCTGTATGTGTTATCATCTTTGAGAATCATTGTGAGTACCATTGGGATCAATGTGTATACAATTGTGATTTATGATTCATTCTGAATTAGGTTATTTGTTAATGATAGATATACTGTTTTGGTAGTCATGAATCATACTGGATTTAGGTCTATGGTTAATCATCACTTGTTATTGCTTGGATTTTAGCTTGTAACTATGTATTTTATATGATTGTTGCAGTGTACTCAATTCGATTCCAAGGGGACTCCTTATGGAATGGGCCAAGTTTCACAGGTTCAGAAAGGAAAGAGGAAGATATGCTATGCTGAATCTTCTACGTCATCGCTGTTAGAGATCCAGGACGAGTTTAAATCAGCTCGTCAAAAGATTGCTGAAAACGAAGCAGAAAATCAGCGCCGTGATGAGGAGAATCGACGTCGTGACGAGGAAAATCAACGACGTGATGAGGAGCTAAGGCAAAGTCAGGCTCGGATTGCTCAATTGGAGAAGTACTTTCTGTTTATGAAGGACAACAATCCCAACCTCACTGTTTACATGTCTGACTCCTCTGCCTTGGATGCTTCTACACCAGCCACAACCACAGCCACACCTCAAGCTGAAGACAATCCTTTGAAAGTTTGCTTCTCAAACTTTCTCACTCTGTTTTTTTAAGAAACTTATTATGTTATAATCTTTTGTACTCTCTTTCTTCTCTTGTCAAACTTATGTTGTTATGCTTGAAAACTTATGTTGTTATGCTAATCTTTTGTAGTTTTAAGACTTTAATTTCTTCTTTTGATTTAGGATTTTCAAATCAAAACACAAATGTATATGTTTTAAGTGACAAAAATGTAACCAACTTAGCAACTGAATTTTGACTATAAAGTGACCAAAAAAATTCAAAGGCATCGCAAATTAGTGTCTAACAAGTGACACTTTAGTGACTACTTTGTGAGTAGACATGACATCTTGAAGAGTCTCTAGTATGTCACTTATTTACGACTATATTAGTCGTCACAAATTAGTATCAATATAACGACTGCCCAGCTTGTCGGTATTTGGTCGTTATTTTCCCACCAACTTATGTAGTCACAAATTCGTCGCTATTTTGTGGCAGAAACATATCGTCCCAAAGTAGTCG